GTGCCCAGTCCAAAGAAAGGTGATCCAACAGAAAGCAGAAATTACCAAACAATATCATTAATACCACACATAAGTAAAATTTTGCTGAAGATAATTCAAAAATGGTTGAGCAGTATATCAACAGGGAACTGCCAGAAATTCAAGCCGAATTCAGAAGAGGACATGGGTATCATTGTTGATGTCAGATGGATCTTGGCTGAAAGCAGAAAATACCAGAAAGATGTTTACCTGTGTTTTATTGACTGTGCAAAGGCATTCTACTGTGTGCATCATAACAAATTACACATAACATTGCAAGGAATGGGAATTTCAGAACACTTAACTGTGCTCACAAGAAACCTGTGCATATACCAAGAGGCAGTCATTCCAACAGAACAACGGAATACCGTGTGCTTTAAAATCAGGAAAGGTGTGCGTCGGGGTTGTATCTTTTCACCATACCTATTCGATCTGTACGCTGAGCAAATAATCTAAGAAGCTGGACTATATGAAGAAGAATAGGGCATCAGGATCGGAGGAAGACTCATTAACAACCTGCGTTATGCAGATGACACAGCCTTGCTTGCTGAAAGTGAAGAGGACTTGAAGCACTTACTGATGAAAATCAAAGACTACAGCCTTCAGTATGGATTACACCTTAACTTAAAGAAAACAAAAATCCTCACAATTGGACCAATAAGCAACATCATGATAAACAGAGAAAACATTGATGTTGTCAAGGGTTTCCTTTACTTGGATCCCCAATCAAGGCCCATGGAAGCAGCAGGGAAGAAACCAAACCACATGTTGCACTTGGCAAATCTGCTGCAGAAGACCCCTTTAAAGTGTTAAAAAGCAAAGATGTCACCTTGAAGACTAAGGTGTGCCTGACCCAAGCCATGGTGTTTTCCATTGCTTCAGATGCATGTGAAAGCTGGATAGTGAATCAGAAGATCGAAGAATTAACACCTTTGAATGGTGGTATTGGCAAAGGATACTGAATATACCATAGACTGCCAAAAGAATAACCAAATCTGCCTTGGAGGAAGTACAGCCAGAATGCTCCTTAGAAGTGAGGATGGGGAGACTTCATCTCACATACTTTGGACATGTTATCAGGAGGGACCAGTCCCTGGAGAAGGACATCATGCT